AAACTTCTCTACTTCTCCCTGGCCCTGCCACACACATACACATAGACACACATACACACACACATGCCACTAAAAAGTTTTCCTTAAGCCTGGCCCTGAAGGCTTTAATATCAGTAAGAGGTAATCCCATAAGAGAAAATTTTGGTTCTGATACTTTTAGACTGTTCTCTTCCTGTTGTAAACCAAAGTTTCCAGAAAAGAATCTCTTTGTAGAGATCTAAATTCAAAGACCAAGGACAAAGGCAGTCTAAATCTGGAAATAAATGACCACAGACTACACCACAAATCACACCACGAACACTGGATAAATTACACTAAGGCTTGCAAGGACTTATCTAGCCTGGGAACAAATTGACCAAAGACCACAGTCTGTGTCAGTCAGAATCATTCTTCTAAAATGTCTGCTCTTCTCAGACCTAAAACCAAGAAGAGTATCAAATATGCAGATATTTTACTTTACTTTCCATGTCCCTAATCCATGCCACACATCTGACCACATGGTCTACTGTATTACTTACCATAACTCAAATATGCAAGAGTTCTACAACATTGCTAGAAGACTGAAATTAAATGTGTCTTTGGAATCTAAACCCACAATAGGTCTTGGGCAGACATAAGGAAGAAGCAGTGGCCCTTCCGCCCCTAAGCTCAGGTCACCCCAGCCCTACAGGCAGCACAGAGTTAACTACCCACCCGCTCTGAGAAGCACAAAGGTACATCACTGCAACATGCCTAACATTTACATTGCCTCTCTCTGCTCATTAAACAGGTTTTGGTTAAATAATGAACAAACTGTATTACAGACTCCGATGAGAATTCCAAAATTATAAATCAACTGGGAAAGCCCAAAGGGGCAGACAGACAGGGAGGGGGGAGAAGGATAATATTGACTAATATAAAGGGCGCAGCTTGACAGTGGATATTCCTGCCACACCTGATCAAACACACTCCGTGGGGGGAGGGGAAAGAGAGCAAGAGAGGGGAGATGGGACAAGACAGCCTGAAATTTGCATCCGGAAAAGATTAAAACGGATTCTTTGGGGATAGAGAAAATACATAATATATATTACTATAAATGCAAAACTGTACTAAAAGCTAACTCAAATGTCAAAGATTACAGCTTGAATAAATTTAAATATAAAAGCCATGTGCTTCCTTGAGTTAATGAGAGAGACATAAAAGGACAAACTGGGCCCGGAGGCTGAACAGAGCCTTATGCTGCCTTTGCTGGGCAATGGGTTCAAAGCACAGCAGCACATACACTCGAAGCCTTCCCACCGGAGTTCAGACACATGAGAAAGAACTGCAAATCCGTTAATTTTGCAGCCTACCTTTCTGTTTTAAAAACTGAACTATAAAGCTGGGTGTGGTAATGCATGCTTGTAATCCCAGCTACTCATGAGGCTGAGAAAGGAGGATCAAAGAAGCCCAAAAATTCGAGGTCAGCCTGGACAATATAGTGAAAGACCCTGACTCTTTAAAAAATAAAATAAACTGGGCCTGGGGTTTTAACTCAGTGGTAAAGCACTCCCCTAGAATGTGTGAGTCACTGGGTTCAATCCTTAGTACCACATTAAAAAAAAAAAAAAAAAAAAAAGAAAGAAAGAATAAGTAAAATCATAAAAAAATTTAAAAATAAACTATATACTATAAAATTTACCCTTATAAATTATACAACTCTATGGCTTTTTGTATATTTACAAAGTTGTACAACTATTACTACTATCTAACTCTAGAATACCAGATTCTCATTCTAATTCTAGTTACTCCAAAAGAATTCTATACCCCTCATAGCACAGACAACCACACATTTGCTTTAACTCTTTCAAAATAACCTCTTAAAAGGATTCATAAGAGAGCTTAAAGACCAAACAAAGGAGAGCAATCCAGTCTTTCTTACCGGTGGTAAGTTACAGTCTTATCCAAAATAATACATACAAACTACTCTTTGACAGCTATTTTCTTCAACTGCAACCTTCTTTTCAGATTTAGTATTAGAATATTCTATTACTCTAAATGGTACAAAACATGAGTTCATCATGCAGTTTGGGCAAATACTGACTGCAAGTATGGTCCATATCTGTGAGAATAATTGATAGGGATTTACCAACCTTACTGGAGACAATGAACTTATTTCCTTCACAATCATCAAATAACATACCTGAAAGAGTAGGAAGTACCTAGGTACTTAAAGATCCTCTGACAATGGGGTTAGGGGTGTAACCAGTTGTTAGAGTACTTGCCCAGCATGCAAAAGGCCCTGAGTTAGATCCCCGCACACAGAAGAAAAAAAAAAATTCTCTGATGATTCCAAGTAAAGGAAAACGAATCTGATTAACATCCAATGATAGAGTGCTTGTCTTGCAAGCCCAAGGCCCTGGGTTCAATCCCCAGCACCACAAAAAAAAAAAAAAAAATCCAATGAACCACCTATTTCCAACAATATTTTCACCAATTGAGCCAGCAGATGACCTAGAAAAATGTGAACAGAAAGGTTTTGCAAAAAAAGGACCAAATCCTCTGAGCTTGGTGGTACACATCTGCAACTCAGGAGGCTGACAGGAGAATCTCAAGTTCAAAGCCAACCTCAGTAATGGCGAGGCGCTAAGCAACTCAGTGAGACCCTGTCTCTAAATAAAATATAAAATAGGGCTGGGATGTGGCTCAGTGGTTGATTGCCCCCCAAATTCAATCTCCCCCCAAAAATTAACGAAGTCCAAGTCAGTTTCATGAGTTAAACGAGATAGAAGTCCTAGAATTCCTGCCCTCCCTCCTCCAATCTAAGTGGTACACCATAACCAGTCACATAAGACAGACACAATCCCTTCAGTTTATCTCTCCAAGTTCAAAATCATTTCCCAGCGTTCTACCATTAACAAGCTTCCAGGAAAGCTATCCTCCTGACACTGCCAATCAAAAAAATCTGTTTGTTTTTGTAAAAGAAACAAAAAATTGGTCATGGACTGTGGACCACAGGGGCAGCTGACCCATGAACCTGCTCCTGGGAGCCAACACAGTGTGGGGGGTCAGACCCAATCTGAAAACCATGAAATGTTCTATTCGGGGTCTACTCTGTCATTTTCTCAAGCAGGTAATGATGCTAAAACCCGGGAACTAGGGGACAAGGTTGGCAGGCACCATCTCAATATCAATCACAGCTGTTGGCCTTGGAAAACCCTATCATCTTCCTTCTCACACCAGGGGAAAGCTTAGAAACACCCAGTTATGCTCCTAGTACCACTGACAGAACTGGCTCATCAACACATTCTGGTTCACTAGTTCCAAGCAGCAGATAATCTGACAGGATTTCTAATCCAAGAACATAAGAAAATTAGGCAGCAGACTCAACTATAATAGCTTTTAAATAGTGTAGAGACCATGAGCCTTGGATTGCATCACTCACCACAAGTATGTCACTTATAATAGCAAACTTTTACTATGTATAAGATATTTATCAAGTGATTCCAATTATATTAAATTGTTTTAACCCCCCTAATAGCTATTGGAAAGATAGCACTCTTAATTCTAACTCACCAAAAAAGATTATAAGTCCCCACTCATTATATTTTTTTCTAATTGGGATGTTTACATTTTATCTGTAAGATAATTTTAAAAAGTGTGCAAGTTGAATTTTTTAAATAGTCAAGTCACTTACAATACAGGTCCTAAAATAAGAACAAGGACCAAGTATTCCCAGTAGCAGCATCAACCCTGATAACTAGCTAATAATCACTTTTTCTATAGTTAGTCCTTTTTTTTTTTTTTGGTGATGCTAGGGATTGAACCCAGGGCCTTGTGAATGCTAGGCAGGCACTCTACCAAGGAGCTATACCCCCAGCATCTGTATTTAGTCCTTTTTGACTAACCTTTCCAAAGCTTTTTCTTTCCTTCCTTTTTTTGGGGGGAGGGTAGGGGAGTACCAGGGGTTGAACTCAGGAGCACTCAACACTGAAACCACTGAGCCTCAGCTCTTTTTTATATTTTAGACACAGGGTTTCACTGAGTTGCTTAGCACTTCATTGTTGCTAAAGCTGGCTCCCAAAGCTTTTTCAAGCTTTCAGTGAAATTTGTCCTGTATAGAAAACATTTAGGGAAACCATAGATAACTTCAGACCATGTTCAAGAAAGTAAAAGAAATTTTTCTCCAGATCTTCTCCCATGTTTTTTATGAAAGGAGGAAAAATTTTGTTTATTGTTTGTTTAATTTGTAGAAGCCTAAACACCATTCAGTTACAAGTCTGAGATATGTCAGTAGATAACAGCATTCCAAGGTTACARTGCAAGAGCCCTACATTCAACACCTACTACCATGAAAAATGCATAAGTATTTAGATTTTCCACTTCCTCCCAGATACAAACACAAACACTATAAGGCATTTCATGTACACATTTTCCTCTAATTATAGATAAAGAAAACAATGCAGAACAGGGGAAAGAACACTAAGCCAGGTGTCAAGAGGCTTGAATTCTAGTTTAACTCCACTCCTAAGGATTAAATAAATTACTTTAAACCTCTCTGGGCTTCACTTTCTTTTATAAAAAGGGGATATCTGCCATGCCTCCCTCATAGATTTGTGTAAAAGTTCAATAAGAGTAATAAATGGGAAAGTGAATTTGAAAATACTAAACATGTGAATACTACATAATAACATAAAAGTTATTATAATTAGGAAAATAGGAAGAAAACAAAAGGGCAAAAAATTGGGGGAACATAGGAAGACTGAAAGATCCTGAAGGATGAAAGCAATGCAATAAACCAGGGATTGGCAATTGCATCCAAGGGCCAAATCTGACTTGCAAATTTTTTTCTTTTTAAAGAAAAGATATTTCACTCATTCATCTAGGTATTACTATGGCTGCTTTTGAGGTACAAAGACAGGTTGAATAGATGCACAGTTGCATACGACCCACAAAGCCTAAAATATTTACCAAATGATCATTTATAAAACAAGTTTTATCTATCCCAGTATAAGTAATCTTATGTAGGTGTTGAGACCTACCTGTTATATTGTTTAAAACCTCCTTTAGATGACTGAAACTATGCAGCAGAGGATCCCGTTCTTCATCCTATAGAATAAGAAAAAAAAAGAAAAAAAAATCATCATTGAGCCAAAGGAAGAAAAATAAAATAAAGGATAAATCAAGGGCTCTTTCTCTGAATCTAACCAAAAAAATCCAGTAAGTTTTCTTTTTGGAGGAAAAGAAACTTAACCATGGTTCATATTTTCCTATTCCTTAATCTCTTACAGTGAGAAAACTCAATATGTATTTAGGGGATCATGCTTACGCCAGATAGTTTGGAACATTACTAATCTAACTGGCAAAATATAGCCTGCTCTTACTTGGACATCTGCTAAATCCCCTGTAAGGAGTATCATCACCAAGTCATACTCTATGTATCAATAAGTAAACTAATTTGTATGAATAAGATATCTAATTATAACCCTTGAGAATTAGATTAGGAATCTTTCTAACATTTTTAGACATACTAAAGCAGTCCCAAGTACCAGCTTAAGTCGTTTATAAAAATAACTTGAAGAATGGTGTTTACTGTAGAGTCCAACAGAAAAAAGAGAATCCATAAATTTGATGCTGGTTGGAATAAAACAGAGATATCCTTAAAATCAAGAATGACTCTGAATTCCTATTACTTTCACTATGACTAGGGACTTAATTACTTTTTTTTTAACTAAGGGCCAGATTCCCCAGCACAAATCAGTAACCAGACTCTGTTGCCCATTCCCCACTTACCAGTGGTGTATGAGTGCTCCATCGGGCGTTTCGTTTGATGGCCCCAACCACAATGTTAATTTCCCCTTGAATGATATAAATATTCTTATCCACCATCCTGGCAAACCTACCAAGATAGTTAAGAGAAATGTCTGGTTAATATTTGGTTAACCAGGGCTGGGGATGTGGCTCAAGCAGTAGCGCGCTCGCCTGGCATGCGTGCGGCCCGGGTTCGATCCTCCAGCACCACATACAAACAAAGATGTTGTGTCCGCCAATAACTAATAAATAAATAAATATTAAAAAAAAAAAAATTTGGTTAACCAGCCAGGCATGGTGGTGTGCAGTTACTTTGGAGGCAGAGCAAAGATGTTCAAAAGTCTAAGACCAGCCTGAGCAACTTAACCAAATCCTGTCTCAAATAAAATAGAAAGAGCTGGGGATGCAGCTCAGTGGTAAAGCATTTGCCCAGCATGGGTGAGGCCCTGGGTTCAAATCCCAGTTATACAAAAAAAAAAAATTAGGGATACGGTTGTGACTTAGAGGTAGAGCGCTCACCTACCACATGTGAAGCACTGGGTTAGATCCTCACTACCACATAAAAATAAAATAAAGATATTGTGACCACCTATAACTAAAAAATAAAGATTTTAAAAAATTATTTTGGTTACCCAGAGCATATCCACATATAAATCAGTAACCTTATCAGATTATTAGAAATGTGATTTAACTTTTCAGTACCAAGATTTTCTACCTGTAATACTAAGATAATGAAGTCCATCTTATGGTTTGAATTCAACTACCTGGCTCTCCTAGAGGTCTCTGTAGGTTCAGATATGTTTAAGATAAAACCCAAAAGTTTATCAACCTAGAAAATTTCTCAAAGACACCTTAATACTCTCTAGCAAGCATGTCAGATTTTTCAAAGTCAATTGTTCCCAAAGTTCTATGATGCCTTTAAAGTATGCAGTTGCTAACTTGCTAAAAATAATATTTCAAATATTTTTGGGGGGAAGAGTAACCAAGGACTGAACTCAGGAGTGCTCAACCACTGAGCCACATTCCCAGCCCTATTTTGTATCAGTGAGAAAGGGTCTTACTGAGTTGCTTAGTGCCTCACTGTTGCTGAGGTTGGACAATCAATCCTCCTACCTCAGGCTCCTGAGTTGCTGGGATTATAAGCATATGCTACCATGCCTGGCTTATTTTGTTGTCTTTTAAAAATGTACTCAATAAAGTAACACTGAAGGTTCAGGCTATTAGAATGAAAGTTATTAAGAAGGGTAAATTTGGTTTGGAATTGCTGTTTGTTGTTGTTGTTGTTGTTTTTGTTTGTTTGTTTGTTTTTGTGGTTCTGGGGATCAAATCCAGGACCCCATAAATGCTAGGCAAGCACTCTACCACTGAGAAACACTGCCAGTCCTGGAACCATGAGTACAATGTCAACTTAAAGACTGCATCCATTCTAATAAGTAAGCTCCAGAAAACTGGACAGTGATAGTGACACGACCTTTAAAAAGTTCTAAGAACTCGGGTTCAGATACTTAAACAGCAGAAAAGACTGAAAGTAAATGCTTTTAAAAACTGCTTTATATCAATCTCTGGAATGAAGTTGAAATACTATTTCCAAGTACTTCCAACTGAAATACTAAGARTTTTCTTTGCTGCCTAGAACAATCCTTAGAAAAGATATTTGTTTTCCCATATAAAAATATTAAAAAACAGAATTTCTTCTTAGCATAGAGAAAATTCTAGTAGTTTTTAACACCCAACTTACCACTTTTCATTATTTAGAAACCCTTCTCAGAAAGACAAAACTTAGAAAAACACAAAGAAGGGGAAAAGATACAGTTAGACAAACAAGCTCAAGGAAGGTAAAAACAATAAGGCTACTGAGATATGGAAAAAAGAAATTCTACCTACTATGCATAAGGCAACTTTCAGAGTGTAAAGGTACAAAAAAAAAAAAAGCGGGGCATGTTGGTGAACACCTGTAATCCCGGCAATTTGGGAGGCTGAGATAGGAGGATCAAACACAAGGTGCTAAGCAACTCAGTGAGCCCTTTCTCTAAATAAAATCCAAATAGGGTTGAGGATGTGGCTCAGTGGTCGAGTGTCCCTGAGTTCAATCCCCGATACCCCCCTTCCAAAAAAAAAAAAAAAAAAAAAAAAGAGTGTAAAGATATAAAGCAAAAAAGATGTGAAGAGTTCAGACATACTGCAAAATGGAAAAAAAATTATATGACTGCATGTTGCTATATATGTAAAAACCAACCAACCTACCATACATAAAATATATTTTTATTTTTAACAATATGTAATACTTAATTTACAGTAAGATAAAAGTAATATAGCTGAGTGTGGTGGCACTAGCTAGTAATCCCAGTGGCTCAGGAGGCTGAGGCAGAGGATAGAGAGTTCAGAGCCAGCCTCAGAAACTTAGCAAGGCCCTAAGTAACTCAGTGAGACCATGTCTCTAAATAAAATACAAAAAAAGTTTGGGGATATGGGCTCAGAGGTTAAGTGTCCCTGGGTTCAATCTCCGGTACCAAGAAAAAAAAAAAATTTAACAAATATAACAGCCAGAACCCAGGGTTAACTGTACAACTAAAGCTTGTTATCCTTCCTAAACATAGCCTCCTTGCTTTTGCCGTAAATCTAATGRTTATTAAATCCTTACAATGCTTTATACTTTTACTTTAGAGATGCATGTCTTTAAACAATATTCTGGATGATTTTATTTATTTTTATTTTTTATTTCTGGTACTGGGGATTGAACCCATGGACAGTTTACCATTGAGTTATATACCAATCCCATTTTACTTTTTTATTGAGACAAGATCTTGCTAAGTTCTTTAGGTCCTTGCTAAATTGTTGAGGCTGGCCTCAAACTGGTGATCCTCAGCCTCAAACTCTCCAGGTGCTGGAATTATAGTGAGCCACTATGCCCAGCTCTGTATGCTTTTATACTCAACTGATATTGTATATATTATTTTACAAACCCTTTTCCCTTAAAACATTATGTTTCTGTGTCATCCATGTCGATAAGTACAGTTAATATATTTCATACAGGTACATACATAGATATATAAATATGGGTTAAAGATTCTGGGCAGATATACCCAAACTCATAAATCACAGTTATCTCTAGAGAAGGTGCTGTGAAATAAGGGTATACCCAAAGAATATTTTAGTCTTATCGGTAATGTTCTAATTTTACAAGGAAAATACTGTATTATCTATGTAACTAAACATTAATAGTGATAAAAGAGAAAAAGATTTATTTCTATCCCTAAGGCATTTATAAGTTTAGTGGGGTCTGAAAGAAAACTGAGGCATAGCCAAAGAGATAGAGAAAAAAATGCACCCGAAAAGCAGCTAAATTTGTATATTTTGTATAAGATGGAGCCTCTAGAAAGTAAAAAGTATGAAAACCACCATATAAAAGAAAAAAAATTGTGTCCAGGCCTACTACATCTTCCCAAATCCAGAAGGGAATCCAACACAGACAACATTTATATTAATGACAATTTTAAGAAAGGACTAGGTAAGACCCTAAAGACTATTTGCTTTCTAAACATTCTAGGAACTCAACAATGTTCTCTTCCAAGAATGGTCCATGAGGAGATGGAATGTACAATAATGTTTTCTTCTAAGGAGCAGAAGAACCAAGAAATAAAAGATAAACAAATTTAAAGGATCTTGGGCTGGGGATGTGGCTCAAGTGGTAGCGTGCTGGCCTGGAATGCGTGCGGCCCGGGTTCGATCCTCAGCACCACATACAAACAAAGATGTTGTGTCTGCCGAAAACTGAAATAAATAAATAAATTAAAAAAAAAAATTTTAAAGGATCAGAAGAGAAAAGAAGTCTTTCATAGTATTTCTCCTTCCTTAAATTATGTAGGCAAGATGAATAAGGAAGAGATCTCGGGCACGATTTATAAGAATCTGCTAACACAGGATTGTCTCCAGGGAAAGAAATTCAGTGACTGGAAATTGGTTAACTGAAGACAGGAGTGAGAGGAAGACTGACTTCTCTCTGTATATTCTTTTTGTACCTTTTAAATTAATTAAAATTTAAAAATAGGTAACATGTTTGTGATAAAAAGTTACCTATTTTWAAATTTTAATTAACTAATTTTTAAAATAAGCTAATAAGTAGATGTATTATCCCTTAAGCCAAAGATTAAAAGCAGTAATCAAAGCTAAGTGATATTTACTTCAGTCAATCAGATAATACTTAGTATATGTTAAGCAAACAAGGCAGAGTCATATAGAATTGTCCCTACTCACCCACTAGATATTCCAAAGGGAATTTATAATCTAACTAGCTTTAGGTAATTTAAAAAAACAGACCTATGCATAGTGGCTCACAAACACATATATCTCCAACAAGAGTGGTATACAGTATTATAGCAATGAAATCAAGAAAATAATTCTGGTGGAATATCACAGAAAGGAAACTAAAAGACAGGATTCAAACAGTCAAAATTATAAGGAAGGAGCCAGGCACAAAGGTGCACGCCTGTAATCCCAGTGGCTTGGGAGGCTGAGGCAGGAGAATCGAGAGTTCAAAGCTAGCCTCAGTAAAAGTGAGGCACTAAGCAACCCAGTGAGACCCAGTCTCTAAATATAAAATAGGACTGGGGATATGGCTCAGTGGTCGAGTGCCCAGAGTTCAATCCCTAGTACCACAAAATGTATGTGTATATATACACACACATATATGTATACACATATACACACATACACATACACACACACACACATATACATGCACACGCGCACGTGCACACACACATATAGCAGGAATGGTAAAAGTGAAGGCTGATAGTAAGAAAATTCAATATGTATTTAGGAGATCATGCTTATTCCAGATAGTTTGGAACATTACTCCTAGGGGAATAATGGAAGGTAAAGCTAAAAAAGTAAGGGGCATATCATGAAGTACCTTGAATGTATAGTTATTATTCAGTCTATGTTCAAAATATAGACTGAGCAGCCATCACTGTTAAAAAAACATTTGAAGGGCCTAGGAGAGACATCATTAAGAACCTAAATAAGAAAACATAATTTTTCTTTCAAAGAACTAAGAAAAGAGAAAACATTCCCAGCTGAAAGCAACAA